AAAAAAAAAAAAAAAAAGCTGCTAAATTCTTGAGAAATTTGAGAACAATTATTTTTTAGTAAGGCTTCACTCAAAGCCATGGAGAATATATAGGTAGGAGAATATATAAGATCATAAGGTGAATTCAAGACTCAAAGAGAAACTTGAGAGTTGAAGGGGTCCTGTATTTCTCTGACCTGATACCTTCTCACCTGGCTCCCACATAAACCTGGGTAGGAGCATTACGAAGTAAACCCAACAGTGATTTGTTCTTCCCTGTGAGGGTTAGCATGGCACTGTGCTGAGCCTGTTATATGGATTATCTCACTTATGAAGATACTATTAGGTCTTCCTTAAGAGATGAACAAACCGAGGTGCAGAATAATTAAGTACCCCCTTAGTCATAAACTCGAGTGGTAAAGCCAGGGTATGTGTCCAACGGTAACTACAGAGTCAAATCCTGTATCCACTCCCCTTGGATGCCTAGCAGAATAGTGAATGGGTTGCTATCAAGCTGCTGCCATGAGGCAGGGCCCCTGGCAAGGGCTGAGACCTCAGTTAATAAATTAGCCTGGCCATAAAACACACACTAGCAATCTACCACCCAGATAAGCTGTCTGAAGATTACAGGAAGTGCTGGGATGTAAGACAGTTCTCATGTGAAAAGCTAGAAGTAAGGGAGGAAATATGTTCTCCAAAGTAACTCAGACAACACGGTGTGTGAGGTGGGAGAAACAATGCTGGTGCTAGGAAGGTATGGGAACCACAGCATCACATTCCACTTGCTGTCAGCCCTTCTTGGGAGCCTGTAAAAATTGTACGAATACCAAAAATACTGAGGCTGGGAGTTCAGTTCAGCAGTAGAGCGCTTGCTTAGCAAGGGTCAGGCCCTGGGCTCAATCCTTGGCACTCCAAAAACAAAGCAACCCACAGAATCTTTACTGATCTCCAGAAACAGGCGGTCCATTTGCCCACGCTATCCTCTAGGGAACTGTGACTTCCGCCGGTCCTCAGTGTCAAAGTGCAGATTAAATTAGTCTCCTCTGCATTCCACAGTCTACGCACGTGTGTGCGTGTGCACACACTCACACACACACACACACACACAGCTGAAAAGCAAAAGCCCCAAGCTTAATTCTTGATTCTGTGCTCTCCCTGCCCCCATGTTTTAAGTCCTAGGGATTGAACCCAGGGCCTTCACAGCCTTTTTTATTTATTTACTTTCAGACAGGGTCTCGCTGACTAAGTTACCCAGGCTGGGCTCTAATTTATGCTCCTTCCACCTCAGCCTCCCAGACTGCTGGGATTACAAGCAGGAACCACCATGCCTGACTTTTCTGGCCCATTCTGCAGGACAATAACCTGGACTATATTCTACTTCCTTTGATGGAATAATGTATAAGTTGCCTTGCAGGTAGCTAAGCAGGCCTTGTCCCAGGCTCCTTGCCATCTGTGATCTTCCATTCTGATTCTCCGTAAAGAAGTGATGCTGCTTCTCTGTTCAGCCCTGGAGCAGACCATGGGGTGGGGGACATGGACAACTTGTGGGGAGGCAGAGGCCACCTTATTATTCATATAATCATGAGGTGGACCCCAAGAACACAAAGCATCCGGGTCCTGGTAGCAGGAGCAGAATTACAACATTTCACTGATGACTTCCAAACTACTGGTGACCTAAATGTCAACATTAGGCCAAAAATCTGTTCCCTCGATTTAACAAATTACAGAGGACAATACAGGGCCTCTTGAAAGGCCCTAGGGTTGGGTTTAAACCAAGGGCTCCCTTTGGAAGCACTCAGTGACACAACATTGCCTCTGAGCAGCAAATTAAATTCTTCCCATAGGCAAACCACTTGCCAGGGAAGCCTTGTGGTGGAAAGCTTGCCTGTCACCTGTGACGGCCTGGGTCCATTCTCACAGCATCACCACCACCAAAAAATAAGTCATCATCAGCGTCATCTGTACGCAGACACAGGCAGGGGGGCTGCAATAGTTAGCGCTGCGCTTCTGCTGTGTAGGAGACACTCACGAAACATGGAGCGGGAGATGAAGGTGAGGACACAGAACCCACGCCAAGGGCTGGCAGCCCGGGCAGTGCGTGTTGTGTGCCTGACGCTGTCTGGGATGTGAGACCCATGTCTCCCCAGCACGGGGCTCATCTGCTGGCCACTGCCTGCCCTGGCCTCCTTCCTTCATTCCTCCCTCTCTCTCTTCAATTTTTAAAACTGCTGTGAGATACGCATGACACAAAACGGACCACACTAACCCCCCCGGCCCCGTCTCTCTGTCTCTCTTTTCTCTCTCTACTGGGTCTTACTATACAGTCCAGGCTGGTCCTTATCTTCACGAAGTGGCCAGGTTGGGCTCAAACTTGCAATCCTCCAGCCTCAGCCTCCTGAGATGGGAATACAGGCACGTACCACCATGACAGGCTCATCCTAAGCATTAAGTGTTCAGCTCAGTGGCACGAAGTCCATTCACCTTGGTGTACCACCATCAGCAGCATCCATCTCCAGAACCTTTTCGTCTTCCCAAACTAAAACTCTCTACCCATTACATGACTGTCCCCCAGCCCAGGCTCTGGAGATCCTTACTCTACTTTCTGTCTTTATTGAGATTCCCCTAGGTAAACCACGTAAGTGAACTCACAGTGTTGACCTTTTTTTTTTTTGGTACCAGGGATTGAACTCAGGACCTTGTGCTTGTGAGGTAGACTCTGTGCCACTGAGTTAAATCCCCCAGTGTTGGCTTTTTTATGTACCTGGCTTACTTTATTCAGCATAATGTTCTCAAGATTTATCCAGGTTGTGGCCTGGGTGAGAATTTCCTTCCCTTTTATGGTTGAACAGTATTCCCTTGCAGGGATAACACACCACATTTTCTTAATCCATTCACTCAGATAGGCACTTAGGTTGCTTCCACCTTTCGGCTATTGTGAATAAAGCTGCTATGAACAACACTGTATGAGTTTGTCCCTGACACCCTGCTTTTGATTCTTTTGGGCATATGCCCGCAAGTGGGATTGCTAGATCACACTGTAGCCCATTTCCCCACCCTGACCCCACCCCGCTTTCTCCTCCATTACTAGAGATGAAACCCAGGGCATTTGCACTGAGCTTCATCCCTAGCCCTTTTCATTCTGAGGAAGCGTCTGGCTAAGTTACCAATTGGACTCAAACTTGCCACCCTCCTGCCTCAGCCTCCTAGAGTGCTGGGATCACAGGCATGTGCCACCTTGCCTGGCCGCACTCATTCTCTGAGTCTGCACCCCTGCACGTCAGTCTCCAGGCCTCTCGCCTACCTGCTACTCCGAAAGGCCTGCGGAGCCCACAGGTATGCTTCCTGCCCTCCTTCAGCTCCATGCGGCCCACGCGGACGATCTGACACACGAGGCTGATGCGAGGCCGGATGAGATCAGTGCTGCTGAGGTCCTGCAGCAGGGGCAGAGAACCCAGTGGAGGGTGCGTGAGGCACCTGTGACTTTGTCTCTCTTTTCGCTGACAACAGCGTCCAGCTCAGAGCACATTTCTCAGTGCTGACAGCCCAGACAGACTCCTCTCTCTCTTTCCCTCCCCATCCCTGAACGATCATGGGATCTGAGAAAACCATTTCCTGTGTACACAAAAGCACTCTCACTCCCCAGTTCCTATTTCTAAATTCTAAAACAGATTACAGTCCATCAGAGGGGCCTGGCTTCACTCAGGTGAGGCAGGGCATTTACAGGCCAAGACAGTCACTGCTGTCAGTTTACATCCTCCAGGACGTAACTCAGGCCAGGATGCACTCCGTGCCACATGAAGTCGATCACGTGTGACAATGCCACCGGCTGGGTCATTTCATCAGCAAAGCAGTCCTGGGAGTGAAGGGGAGGCAGGCGCTACTTGGTGTGATTATCCACCTGGTGGCCGAGACAGGAGAGGCAGCAGGCAAAGCCTGTGGTCTGGGTCCCGGCTGAGGCCCACACCCGTCTGTAATTGTCAGCACGGCGGCTAAGCTGGCCAGGGAGCTGGTGGACCCCATCCACTTCACACTAGAGCTGATCTCATTACAGCTCAAAATCTCTTTGTGAAATAGCTGCCCACGTCCTCGCTACTGAATCAAGGACTACTTCTCAAAAATTATCCCAAACCTATTCCCTGGAGCTGAGTTAACTCAGGTCACCAAGGCATGGATGCCCACTGAGAATAACATCCACCCTGGATTTCTGCCACATGTCCTGCAAGGTTTCCGTTTGGAGAAAAACAAAGACCCCGGGTAGCCGGTTACAAAAATGTGGCAAGGCGGTATTAGGAAATGATACGCAATCATGGGTCAATGAAGTTTGTAAAGGTTGTTCAATGACCAGAGAAATGGTGACTACATGTTGCATAATTGAAAAGGGCAGACATGAAATTTACATATTAAAGGACCCTAACTGTAGGTGTGTGGGGCCGAGAGGGAAGGATAGTGAACAGCAGCTGTTTGAAACTGGTACTGATTAGATGTACCCATTTTCTCCATTTGTATTGAGACAGGATTTTGCGACACAGTACAGGCCTTGCCATATAGTCCAGGCTGGACTCAAACTCCTCCTGCCTCAGCCTCCTAATTGCTTAGACAGCAGATACACACGAATGTGTCCACCTCAGTACCTGTTTCTGTACATTTTTAAAAGTGTGACACACAGACTGATAAATGCCTTTTGACTTCAGGAAAAGACTGCACATATCTTAGAGCTAAGGAAATACTAGGGAGGTTTTAGGATGAGTTCCAGAATGTTCTCTGCCTGCATTTTCTGGGTGGTGAAGATACAGGCTGATCGGTGCAGGGAAAGGAGGTGTTAACAGGAGTAAAAATAAGCCGTACAGGGACTACAGATCCTTTCTGCCCCTCCCTTTGGCACGTAACTTCAACACTGTTTTTCTTGCCCTAAGAACAGGAAGAGAATAAGGAGATAAAATATGGGTGGGCTGAGGAGAGAAGAGGGAGAGTCGCTGCTGTAGGCCCAAGGCCCAAGGTCATCGACAAGTAAGAGAAGCCAGGAAGTTCCTAACCTAGGAAGGAGATGGTCCACGTGGCCAAATGTGCAGCGCAGAGCACTCTCCTGCTCTGAGCCATGTACAGTGCGCTCTGGGGGGAGGGAGGACTGCTCATGCGTGCACGCGCCTGCACACACACACACAGTGAATATTTACATGTACAAACATTTTTTATTACAGTAAAAGACACACTGCCATCATCTTCCCCCGGAAACTCCTCCTCTCTCTCTCCTTTGAAGACACTGAGCCCTGAGTTCCTGCCACTCTCTGGAAGTAGTTCTGGAAGTCCTCTTCCATACCTTCATCTGGTTTGATCAAGAACACTCGGAATGCTGTTGCCCAGGGCCAGCCAGTGGAAAGGCAGGCTCATAAGCACCACGCTGTGTCCTCAGCCACCTGACTCACTGGAGTAAGTCATTGTGTGACTTTGGGTCCTTCCTCAAAGTCAAAAATGACCATGGAAGGCAAACATTCTGAAGCAATTCAGGACTTTGCGGCCAGTACCATAATGCAACGAAAGACACTCTCGAAAGAGGACTCCAGAACTGCTTCAGAAAGTGGCAAGAATGACGGGAGAAGTGCATTCCAAGGGAGGGGGAGGATTTTGAGGGGGATTCACAGCCAAGTTTCTTTTACTATAATAAATTTCTTAAAACTGTAAACATTCACCGTATCTTTGGGTCACACCGGGTGGCAGCACTCAGGATGGAGGTGAAGGAACTGCCCATTCGGACAAATGCGTACAAAGAAAGGGGCACACCCTGCCTGCGCGTGGCTGGGGACCTAGGTCTGGAAGCAGTGTCCCACCTACCTCTGTGGCTCACGCGCTTCCCGATTCTTCCCCATCTCCCAGGAACCTGCCCTGAGTCACACATTTACATACCCTGGGCTCGGGGCACCAAAGCCAGGGCTTTGCACAAGCTGAGCAGGTGCTGAGCTCATGCTCGTCCCAGCCCCCATGTGACCTACTCAAAATCCAACCCTTCCCCATGAGACGCGGGCAGTGCCCTCAAAGCACTCAGAATATCTAACATCCCGTGAACTGTACTCATCGATTGACTGTTAATTCCTGCTTTCTCCACCAAGAGCTGCTCAAGAGCAGGGTTTTTTCCCCCCCGACTGGTTCACAGGTGCCCCACCCCCCCATTGGTCGAGGGGTGGCGCATCTGGAGGGCCTACTTCAGCGCAGCGCCTGGCACTGAGGAGACGCTCACTCCATCTCTGGTGAGTGAGAGGGTTATTCCCACAGGGGCTGCGGCTGCCTTTTCCCGTTTAACGCTTTCCACGTGCATCCCTCCCATCAGGCTGACAAAGACAAGGAGGACAGGGCGGTGGGACTTACGGAAAACACTGCTTGCAGGTTATTGAGCTTCTCTATCTCCTTGGGCATCCCGTTGCTGCCCCAGCGAATCAGATAGTTCTCACTGGCAAGAGACAGAAAACACTGTTTTTAACGAGAGGCCACGTGGGCAAGGAGGTTGCCTCGGTGCAGGATTATGAGGGTAGGAGGAGGGGCGGGAATGCTCCAGGAAAGCCGGCAGGCAGCTGTGAAGTGGCCCGAGAGTGCACACAGGTCCCTCGAATCGTCGAGAGTCCCTGGCGCTGCAAGTGTCACTTCCTGCAGCCCCACAAGACGCGGCCCCCACAGATCGGGCAAACGCTACTCAGCATGGGGCGGAGATAGCACATTTTATGGGATGTGACCGTCCTTTGATTTTATTTTTTTTGGTACCAGGGATTGAACTCGGGACCTTGCACTTTCGAGGCAGGTGGTAGAACCACTGAGCTAAATCCTCCGCCCAGTCCTTTTATTTTTAATGCGGTCGGTATTGGATATTGAATCCCGGGCCTCTGCACTGAGTTATGTGCCTCGCCCCTTTCTATTTTGAGACAGAGTTTTAGCAAGTTGCCTAGTCTGAGCTGGAACCTGTGATCTTCCTGTCTCAGCCTCCCAGAATGCTGAGACTATAGGCCTGCACCACCTGTTGTCTGAGGCCTTCTTTCCAACTCAAAATTTCTTTGTATGGAAGTTTTAACTCTGCTGAATCAAGAATTTAATTTTTCTAACAGCCATTCCAACTCCATCACTTATAAATGACATTATCATACTAAAAACATTTGTTGCAGAAACAGTTTATCACTAACTGCTTTTATCTACCTTCCCAGAAGTAAACCTATGTTCCCAGAGCCCTTCAGTAGGTAGTTTGTCATCCCAGGACTAAACAAGACCCATTATTATTTCCACTAGTCTTTTAAAAATTTCTGTCGACTGTTTTCTTTTTTTTGTATGGGGATTGAACTCAGGACCTTGTGCTTGCAAGGCAGGTGGCGAAACCACTGAGCTAAACCCCCAGCCTCTGTATCAACTGTTTTTAAAGCAGTTTTAGGTTCTTAGCAAAGCTGAGCTGAAAGTACAGAGAGTTGCCTTATATCTAGTACCTCCCTACCATCTTTTCTCAGTACCAGCAATCAAACTCAGGGCCTCACACTTGCCAGGCAGGTACTGTGCTGCTGAGCTACATCCCGGCCCCCTCCCTACCATCTGGATCCTCAGCAGAGTGGCACAGTGGTTCTAACTGATGAGCCTCCATCGACGAACCATTAGCACCAAAGTCCATAACTGACACTGAAGTAAATTCTTGGTCTTGTGCATGGTGTGGTTCTCGAGGTGTCTCACGACATGCATGAAGGGTCCCTGTACTGTTTCAGCTCCGGAGCCCAGAGCACTTTGCTTTCTACTGCCTAGAAATCCTCAACCTCTCCTCTGAGCCCCATTCTCTAGCAAAAGCTCCTCAGCTAGGGTAGGTGAAGGCTGAGTACTTCACAAGGCCCACAGCAGGTGATGGGGGCTCTACTACCTGATGAACGTGGACTGGTCTGGGTCATAGAGGGCCATGAACAACTCTGCATCCTCCCCGATATTGCAGACAAAGTTCTTGAAGTTCACATAGAGGCCATAGGTGTGGGCGCCACTGAAGATGGCCTGGTTCCGTGTGTCTAGGTTCTGCAGAAGGGACTGGACACAGAGGGCAAGAGAGAAAAACCACCTCGGTTTCAGCAAGCTGGAAATGCTGGCAAAGAATCACCCTGTGCATGGGAGACTAAGGTAACCACCACCCAGGAGAAGCACTTGCTGAGAAGACAGGGGTGTTGGGCCCACGATCCACCAGGTGAGCAGGATATGATCACCGTCACTCGGATGAGCAAGGTTGCCAGGTACAGGGCCCTGAACTCAAGGAATTCAGTGTATGCGGGCTGAATGTGATTGTGCATGGTTTTCGAGGATGCAGAGCGTTATTACGTCTTATGAGAGATGCTAGACAAAGGCCAGAAGCAGCACATCCGATCCATTATCCCTCTATATGGGAACGACTCTCATTGGATACAAAAGATTCCACTAGAAGAACGTCACCTTTGGCTGTGGTTGCCACTGGATTCAGAAACAACGAAATGTATGTGACTGTACCAGAGAATTCAAGGCTACAAACTAAAGAGAAATGACACAAAGCTTTCCTTGTCAGAACAGAAAGACTGGAAGAAAATAAATCAAAATGTCAATACTGTTGGATCTGGGCCAGTGATGGCGAACCTTTTAGAGCTTTCGATGATACAAACAGCCCACTTCAGCACACGCTCCATACATTCGCCACCACTGACCTAGGCAGTCATGTGGGTGATTTTTTTCTTGGCTTTCTCTTTGTCATTTTTCTTTAAAGTACAGTTATTACCCTCCATACCTTCTGAACATTTCAGAGTATTTTTTACTTTGGAAATCGTAACATAGGCACCAAATACAGAAGATTACACAATAATCTTTTCCCTTGCCCTCCGTTTTTTTTTCCCAGAGACATCCATTAATGATGAATCTCTTGTTGATCATTTCAGAGTCTATGCACATGAGAGCATTGACATGGGTATGCTTTTTTGTGTATTTTTAAAATGCAAATAATAGCATTTCATATACCCTGTTCTGCATCTTGATTTTTCCACTTTATTTATATATGTTTGTGTTCATTCTGCAACAGAACATAACATAATAGCCTCATTCTTTCTGCTATGTTTCAATGAGAGCACAAAAGATTTTCTAGACACTTCTGCCTCTTGTCAACAATTCTCTTTCTCTCGCTAAAAAACAAAACAAAAACCAAAAAACAAAAATGGAATCTCAGCAGCAAAAATCTTCAGTTGGAGAAAGCTTACCTTTTCTTCTTGGATCTTTTCCTCGATCCTTTTTGAGGCCACTTCATGGGCCTTGAAGAGGGCGATGGTGCTAGTTTCATCTGGGTCTAAGATGTTCCCATTGTCATCTCGCACTACGAGATCTAACCCGAGCATTCTGGAGAGGAAGAGACAGTCAGGTGATTCTCCCCATCAGAGGGGACTCTGCAAAACAGCCCTCATCAGAGAATCCAGAGACTCTGTAGAAAGTCAAGGGAAGAACAGCTAACTAACTTTTCTCCTTTCAATTTCTGCCTCCCTTCTATGTGAACAATGTTTAAAAACGACCGAGATAATGCCAGCAAAATTTGTGTAAGGACATGCAAAGTTATTGGTCCACAGATCACAAGAAGAAAAGCTAAACTGGCACTGATTCTAACCAAAGACCTTGCTCCAGTGCTTCTTTGCTTGGTTTTCTGTGACTGGGTACAGCAGCTATGCAGGATTAATGCACAACTATTTGAGAGCTTGCCTTGCCTTCCTTAAAATCAAGGCTGTTGTAGAGGAGCTCAAGGAAGTAAATCCTGGTTCTTGCTCTCTCATACCCCTCCTCAGACCACTGGCTGTGGTGTAGTTATACCAGGACTTAGATCTTGGCTTTTATTATCTTGTTACCATTGTGATCCCTTAATTTTGCAAAGCCTGTATTTCTTCAAGTGCAAATGTTTCCTATCCTTCAAGATAGTAAGAATTTAATGAAATAATCCATGTAAAGTACCTAATGCAATATCTCTTACACATGGTACAGACTCAAGAAGTATTGCAACAAGTAGTACAAGAAGAACTGGCTGCATTAAACTGTAGTGCTGAGTGTTGTGTGGGAAGAGCAGGCCATGGGGTGGACACAGTCACCATCCTCTTCCAGGCTTTTGGGCCCAGAGGGTATGCAGAAGTAGAAAAAGATCTGCTTAGTTCCAAGAAGTTGGAGACTGGCGAAACAGGATACTGCTATATGAATGCCCTGTGTGCATTCCAGGCACCAGCTATTGGGATTGGGGATGCCCAAACAGCAAGGACACTCAAGGGTAATGGGGAAACATGCCAAGTCTATTGGAACAAAGCAAAAATTCCTAACTTCCCACTTCCCTGTTTTATAACATCTCCACCAGCTGATTTAATCTGCCTGGTTCCTTTCCACAACAGCCAGACTGTGGGCCATTCAGACTCTTGAAGGATGGCCTTGCCCGCTGCTCAGAGACAGGATCATGGTTGCACTGACAGAGCTTCATTCCTGAGCTGCTTCCATAGGCTGCAGTGGGAGAGGACGCACGTCCCACTATTTGTGTGGTGTGCTAACATCCTGTGCCAGAGACTTTTGGGACCTCTGGGGGCCACTGTCAGTGTGGCAAGATCCCAAAAGACAGAGGCAGCCTATGTGCAAAGGGAACTGCCTTATCCCATCTTAGCTGGCTTTTTAAAAAGTCAGTGGACATCTGGGCCTGGTGGTGAATGCCTGGAATACCAGCACTCCGAAGGCTGAGGCAGGAGGATCATGAGTTCAAGGTCAGCCTGGACCACAGAGCAAGATCCTATCTCAAAACAAAACAAAACAAAATAAAAAAGCCTTTTGCATAGGTGTAGGAAAGGATTTTCTAAACAGATCCTTAATTGCACAAGAAATAACAGCACAAATCAACAAATCTGTCTAAAAAGCTTCTGTACAGCAAAAGAATCAGCAGAGTGAAGAGACAACTTACAGAATGGGAAAACTTTCTGTCCACTACTCCTCAGCCAGAGGACTAATATCTAGAACATATAAAGAACTCAAAAAACTTAGACCACCTACAATTAAAGATCCAGTCAAGAAATGGGCAAGTGAAATACACAGGACTTCATAGAGGAAGAAGCACAAAGAAAATGTTCAACATCTGTGGCCATTAGACAGAAACAAATTAGCACAACGCTGAGATTCCACCTCACTACAGAAAGAATGGCCATCGTCAAGAAATCAAAAAATAACAAGTGGTAGTAAGGCTGTAGTGAAAAAGGAACCCTCTTACATTGTTGGTGGGAATGTAAACTAGTACAACCATTACGGAAATCAGTATGGAGATTTCTCAAACAACTGAAATTAGAAATTCCATATGACCCAGTATCTCACTTCTAGGTATCTTCCCCAAAGAGCATATTACAACATACATATTATGGCAATACATCCATCCCAATGTTTTCTGCAGCACAATTCATAATAGCTATATCTTGGAAACAGCATATATACCCATCAACAGATGACTGGATAAAGAAATTGTACTATCTATCTTTATGGAATACTACTTGGCTATAAAGGATAAATTTGAGACATCTGTAGGAAAATGAATGCACTTAGACAAATTTTTTTGTTTTTTTGAGACAAGAGTCTCATTATGTAGTTCAGCCTTAAATTCACTCTGTAACCCAGGCTGGCCTCAAACTCAGTGATTCTCCTGCCTCAGCTTCCTGAGTGCTGGGATTACAGCTATATGCCACCATATCCGGTGAAAATATAATGTTGAATGAAATAAATCAGACACACAAACTTATATACCATACGGTATCTCTCCTTTGTGTAAGGCAAAGTATAAACTAAGAGAAAAATAAAGGATAGAATGAGACAAGAGATGCGTCTCTTGCAGATGGGAAGGGGTCCAGGGGACCAAGGGGGAGAGGGGGAGGGGGGAGGGGAGGGGGGGAGGAGGCGGAGGAGATGGGGAAATAGGTAGACTGAAGATACCCCAAGTACAAGGTCCTCATAACCTCAATGAACGTGGACATTATATGCCATAGACATGAACTGAGAGTAACAATAGCAAGAAGAATGAAAAGGGGGAAAGGGGAACTAGAGGAGGAGAGAGGGGGGAAAAGGGAAAGGGACTAAAAACTAAAACAAGCTGTATTATGTCCATGTACCAACTCCCCAAGATGACTGTAAAATGCATGTACTGCAAACATGTACTAATAAAATAAATTTTAAAAAGTGAAAAAGTCTTTTGGTACTACGTGACTGGCAGTGTAATCATTAGGGTTATAGTGTTCAGGACGGACCAGTGTCAGGGAGGAGACTTAATTCTCAGCCCTAAGAGGGGGGCAGTAGGCAGGAAGCCGAAAAGTCTTAGGCTCAAATTGAAGCTTTCTCATTGACTATGTGACTGGGAAGGAACTCACTTGAGCTCATCTGGTGTGTTTCTTGACCCATAAAATGGAAATAAGAACAGCTACTTCATAGCGTTATAAGGACGTGAAGCATACAACAGAGTCATTTCATAAATACTGCCTGAAGCTGAATCCCAAAGCTATGTTCACCCCAGCTACTTCTGAATACAGTTGTCAGAGTGTGGCATTTATATGGTTAGGGCAATGCGCTGTATTTTAGCAGGTCTATGAGGGATATCCAACAGTCCTGAGGCTGCAGAGACTGGGTATGAATGGAGAAGCAAGGTAAAGGGGGAGGAAAAATTATATACACATATGAAGAAACTGAACGCCAAGTGAACTCCCAACAAAAACCAACAGAGGAAAGGCCTTTCTGAAAGGACTGGCATGGAGGCATGAACCCCAGGCCACCATTAATTTGGATAAAGTGGCTGAATTTCTAATTTTCCAAAGGTGAGAAAATCTGGAACCCACGTATGTGCCTGAGTCAACAGAAGATCAGGGATGAGATGGATGCTCTGGAGGTGGCTGCAGATAATCCCCAGCCGGGAAGCATGCCTGCTGTTTTGGAGAAGTGAGTTTTCACAAACTGCAAACCAGGGTCCCAGTTAGGGGAAGATGGAGTGAAAGAAGACAGAATGAGTCTGATACTGAATGAACATCCGTTTTGCTAGAATAAAAATAGACATGGTCTTGGGCATCTGAAAGTGCCAGGTCTCCCTGGGGTTCTTCAGCTCTGGGACAGCTCCCCTGTCACACAGGGAGGTCCGACAGTCAGCACGGCACACACACCACAGCGAAGGTGGTGACATTTTTTTTCAGTGAAAGTAAATGTTTTCTAAGACCCAAAGAAAGTAATAAGCATCATTCTCTGGAACGCTAAGAACAGAAGTTTGCTGGTAAACCGGAGAGATGGGGGCAGAGAGGGTGCTCAGGGGGTACTGGGGTGACGTTGGAGAAGGGGAACAATTTCTAATGTTCTACAGCATTGTATAGTGACTATGGCTGACAGCAATTAATTGTGCATTTCAGATAGCTACTAGAGAGGATGCTGAATGATTCCAAACAAAGAAATGAGAAAGGGATCTGGTGAGGGGTAGACCAGTTACCCTGGTTTAATCATCACATCATTGTAAACCTAGACTGAAATACCAGTGTGCCCATAAAGATGTACAAATACGGTGTGCCAATTTAAACAAAGTTTGTTGTAAACGCCAGCCTTAGCATGAAGGTGTCAGCCAATTCCCAGTTCCCAGGGAAAGGTCAGCCCTGTTCACCTGTTCCCATGATCGATTTTGGCCGTGACCTTCTTCTTAAGCTCTGCCAGTTCGTCCTTGGGGAGTGTTCCGGACAGGATTTGGGAGCGCCACTCGATCAGGCTGTAGGTCATCTGCTGCAGCTGGCGGAACAGTGTGACCTTGTTGTTCTAAGATGGGAAAACGAGGTAGAGGGAGAACAGAGAAAAAAAAAAGTGTGGTGAAAAATGAGCAGCTTTTGATTGTTTATGAGGTGGTGATCGGTAAATTGTGTCACATGGAAAGCCGTGTACTCTATTTTTTTTTATTAATGTACCCAGGGATAGCTCTGTCCCGAGCCACTCCTACTTTGTGCAGTATTACAACTGTAAACATGGAGAAACCCACATTAAAAAGCTTCTGCACACCAAGGCAACTACTTACAGGGTAGAGAGACAAACCACAGACTGGAAAAATATGTTTGCCAGCTATTTCTCAGACAGGACTAATACAGTGGTACCTTGGTTTCGGAAATGCTTTTGTCTGCAAACAATTTGGTTCACAAACAGAAGGGTTTGGCAAAATTTTGTTTTCGTTTGCAAACTCTGTATCGGGTGACAAACACAACCGCAGCCATCTTTCCCACACAAACACAAACATGGCCATCTTTTCCAAAACTGTAGAACAAATTAAGTTCAGGAACTGAGGCACCCCTGTATATAGCATATATAAAGAACTAAAAAAAAAAAATCAGAACTCCCCCAAAATAGAAGACCCAGTTAAAAAAAATAGGCAACTGAAATGAACAGACACTTCTTTAGAAGCACAAATGGCCAATAAATACATTTTAAGATGTTCAGTATCTCTGATCATCAGAGAAATACAAATCAAAACAACTCTGATTTTCCATCTTCTTCCAGAAAGAATGGCCATCATCAAGAAATCAAATAATAACAAATGCTGGAGAGATTGTCGGAAAAAGGAAGCCTTCTACATTGTTGGTGGGAATGTAAACTAGTATAACCACTATGGAAATCAGCATGGGATTCCTTAAAAAATAGATAAAACTAGAAATTCCATTTAACCTAGTTATCTCCCTTCTAGGTATCTTCTTGAAGCAGCTAAAGATATCATAGTACAGTAAAACACACATACTCATGTTTATAGCAGCACAACTCTTAACAGCTGGATCTTGGAAGCAGCCTATACATCCATGAGCAGATGAATGGATACAGAAAATGTACTATTTATATACAATGTAGTACTACTCTGTCATAAAGGATAAACTTGAGTCATTTGTTTAAAAGCCTCCAAGGATTTCCACGGGGTACAACAGATCCCACTGTAAGTCCTTGAAGTCTCCACTCCAGCCCATGCGCCCATCCATAGTTCAGGCCAACCTCCACTGCGAATGTGCTCCTCTCTTTCCAATGCCCCAGACCCTCTCAATGTGGAATTCCCTTCACTTGGAACTACTTTGCACCTTGCTTCCCAGACCTACCTCCAGCCCCAGCTCCTTCTCACGCACACAACGGCCTTCCGTCCACCTGGCTAACTCTGACTTCATCCTACATTCCTCGGCTAGCTGCACCTGGAATCTGCTCCGGTCCCCACAGGCAGAGCCCCGGATGACGGATGACGTGGGCCTGTCTGACTCCTCCCTTGGAGAGCAAGCTCCTCTTAGACAAGGAAGTTGTTCATTGTGTGTCCCTAGTAGCTGAAATAGTAAATGCTCTATAAAATGTATGGAGGGGAAGAGCCCATAATGAAGAAAGAACTCGAGTTTCAGAGGTAAGAAAGGTCACAAAATAAAAATGTAAACATTATTTTAAAATCTCTGTTTCTCCAGAAAATTGTTAGATCATTTGGACACTGAACTGTTATTCTGGGCTTTCCTAAAATCTTACTGTAACTGAACTAATTTACAACCGATGAATCATTTACGTCCCAGTCATTTTAAGAGTCAAATGCTTGATACTGAGCTATCACAACCTTGATTCTATCTATATGATTGCTTCATTTTATATATATGTACATATGTATATGTACAAACCTATAAACACATCCATGCATGCATCTATGTATAGATTCATATAAGTACACATATATACACATACATATATATTGTAAGTGTACATACACATATATGTATATTTGTATGTGCTTAAAAGCAGTCTGTAGCATGTGCTGTGTGCTGGAAATAGTTCCTGCCTTCGAGCAGCTATTACTCTAGAAGGAGAAAGACAGCAATTATATATATATATATATATATATATATATGTATACATATGTTATGTATGACACATCTATGCACAAGATAATTTCAGGTTATGAAAAGAGCAAGAAAGAAAAAACTTAGAAAAAATTGAAAAATAAAAAATAAATAAGAAAATAAATAGGGGACTATGAGACTGTGTATGTAGGGGTAGGAGGCCACTTTAGATCGAGTGATCAATAAAAATGCTTTGGGTATCACTTTTGAAATATGTTAAATAAAAACCTGTACAATTTCACTCACTTCATAAATGCTATGAAACGACTTTTTTCTTATTCATAAGTAAAAGTTATGAGACAGTATATAGCTATATACTTCTAAAATTACAAAAGAACATACAGCAGTATGCTACAAAAACGATGCATGCACAAACCACACACACACACACACACACACACACACACACACACACACGCTGTGGGTGGCTGCACAGGATGTCCCCTAGTGACATTCTTTCAGACTTCGGGGTAAAGTATGGACTAGCAGCAGGACTGAAAAGATCCCAGGGCCTCCTGCATGAAGAGTAAAGGTGAGGATGAGCCCTTGGCCTCATGGGGCAGTGGGAGCACTCCACACGGTGATTATCTGGATGTGATAAACCCTAGAGAAGTTCAGAGTTCATGAGAAGCCAAGGAAAAGGAGGGAGCACCACTTATCTGTGGTTGCAAAGTGCTTTAACACTGTGGAGCTTACAAATACAGAAAGCAGCCTGGTGTGGGGTCGTATGCCTGTAATCCCAGCACTCAGGAGGCAGGGGCAGGAGGATCCCCATGAGTTCCAGGTTAGCCTGAGCTACACAGTGAGTTAAGGCCCAGCCTGGACTATAAAGCAAGACCCTGTTTCAAAACAAACAAAAACAAACAAGCAAACAAAGCCTGTTTAAAATTGCGAAGCTAGCCTGGCATGACAGTATGTGCCTGTAATCCGAGCTACTCAGGAGGCTGAGGCAAGAGGTTTGAGGCCAGCCTGGGCCAATCATTGAGAAACTCTCAAAATCAAAAGTAAAAAGGCAGGAGATATGGCTCCATGGCATAGGGCCCGGGGTCAGTTCCTAGTACTGTATCACCGAAACAAAAAAAACATTGCAGAACGACCGACATTTTGTGCTTTTCGCATTTTCCACATTGCTTTTTCCTCAGTCCTCAGAAAAGCATAAAATGAGGCAAAGATCCTGTTTTTAAAAACCAAAAGTAAGGGTCGGGATGTAGCTCAATGGCACCGCGCCTGCCTGGCTAGTGCAGGATCCTGAGTTCAATCCTTTGGTACAAAAAAACAAAAAGCAAAAATAAAACCTCTGCTTTTTTCATTCAATCTGCTACAAAATGTTTCCATTTCATTACCTTCCAAACTGAAAAGAAAAGGAGGGATTAAGACAATTAAGATTTTGCCTTTAAAAACTGCTTGGCATAAAATAGATAATTTTTTTCTTTCCTGCAATCCATCTGTTCACTCTTAGTTTTTTTAAAAAAAATGGTTTCTGATTTTAATTAAGATCCTGCGGGAACGAGGAGGCTCCAGGCTCAGGGACCCCTTTGTCTGGGCCACATGTCCCCAGGTCCTCCATCCCAATTATATTAGACACGATCCATGGCAATCTAATTACTGCCTGTTCATATCGGCCTTGTTTGCCAAGTTCTTCCCCCAGTAAGGATGAAGACAGCCATTCTTCTATGATTCCCAGGGCCAAGTGAATAGTGAATAGACAAGCTGGAGCTGACCAGAGGAAGCAATTTCCCATCCACTTCAAGGAAATGGGCCCTGCCACCATATTCCTGAGATTGTTCTACACAAGGTGCACAGTGCTGGCCCCTGAGCTGCATGGGTTGTGGGGAAGCACACAGACAGCTGAGGACAAAGCCCCACACAGCCCAGCAGGCAGAGGGTCCCGCTCCTCGGACACTTCTCTCCTCCCGCCCTTTGCTAAGGCTTGGATAGGGCTGGTGCCCCATAGGCCCACATGCTGGAAGTTTGGGCTCCAGTGTGGAGATGTGCAGGAGGGGCCTCTAAGAGGGGGGCCCACCGGGAGCTAACTAGGGCCCCGGACGCACTGTCCTGGGAGGGATAAACGCTGATCTCCTGGAATGGAGTGATTCGTTAAGGAGCGGGCCTGGCTCCTGAATTGCTGTGACCTCCAGTCTCACCCTGTGATCTCTCCTCCTCATCCACACACTCCGGTCGGTCATGAGGCCATCGGCAATGTCAGGACCCCACCAAGCAAGCCCTCTCCAGAGGCTGAAGAGATGGAGCTGTCTAACTTAGACTTTCAGCCTCCAAAATTGTGAGCAAAATAAACCTCTTTTCTTTATAAATATCTAGCCTCAGGTATTTTGTAACAGCAACAGAAAACGGACTGAGACACTGCCTGCTCTGTTTTCTAAATACAACCAAGGCCTGCCTATTGCAGCGTGCCTTCTCCACTACCTCCAATCTTTCCTGGTGGACTCTTCTATACTCAGTCACTGTCACATCATTTAATAATGCGTCTCCACAAGACCCAGCGCAATCCCAGGATAAGGTAGGAACTCAAAAACAAACCTGATGGCTCAATCTTAAAATAACTCTCTGGAAATAAACGAAACTATGGCTCCTGTTTCTCTTTGAGTGAGAAGCAGCTACACCAAACAAAAGACCTTGGATATTGCTCTACCACACAACGAAGACCCTCCTGCATCCACTCAGGGCTTTTCCCACTTTTGTACTCAGAGACAGCTGAGGCCTCACTTTTTATATCCTTAGTCCAGATGTTTACCTTGTTTTCCTTCTGAGATTTCTGGCGATAAAAGCTAAGTCTCAAGGAAAATCAGCTTGATCTTTCTGCTGAAATACTGAGAGGAATGCAGAAGGCATCCAAGGAGTATGAGAGAAATTTAGGGGCCATTCAGAGCCTGGTACTGGTACTGAATGTCAGGAGACCTT